CCTAATGAGGCCCATAATGAGCGACAAATCTGGTGGTGGTGATGGGGTTGGGTGCCTCTTTTTGGGGGGGTGGAAAACTAGCAGTGGGAGGGGAAAACTATCGCGATGATGACGCAGCAAAATTGGGTGGACTGACAAACGGAAGTTGACTGGGAAAAATCAAATTTCCCTATAGCTTTTCAACTAATTTGGGATCCATCTTTGTGGGAGGTATTCAAATAACTAAATTTAACTTATGATATTTAGGTTTTTATACTAAGAAAATATAATTACTATTTCCGTATTGCTTTTATATATACCTCCTCCTATCAATTTTCTTTTAAATGGGATCCATCTTTGTGGGAGGTATTCAAATAACTAAATTCTACTTATGATATTTAGGTTTTTATACTAAGAAAATATAATTACTATTTCCGTATTGCTTTTATATATACCTCCTTTTATCAATTTTCTTTTAAATGTTCTACTGACACAGTTTTATTTGGTTATTTAGTCAGATTTTGTTATTTATAATATTAAAACATTAAAATAGACCTTTGCTTATATATTTTTCTAAAATATTAATCTCTGGAAATCTAAAAAATCCTCTTAAAAGTTCTCCATAAAACTCCTTGAGTAGTAAATAAAATATAAACTCCAATTGTTGACAGAAAGTCTATTATACTTTCTCTTCACAACTTAAACCTTAAACTGTTGTGTACTTTACAGATTTTGCCTTGAGCTAATATAATTATTTCTTATGTCCAGGATATACACAGATTCGAGGTGCAACAATGCGCTCGGTCTCTTTGGGTTTTTCCTCGTTATATATATATATTTTTTTTTTTTTGGTTGTACATTTCCCAATGAATTTAATATGAGGAGACAACAGGCGAAGACAGGCTGAAACGGGACAAGGGACAGGGGAGGGGCCTTGCCCTGTCAAGCCATCATGGCGCTGGCAAGGACAATGGAGAAAGTAAAGTCTTAAACGCTGTCAACGTTGGCTTTTTCAGGCTTCAAGTGGCAGGTCTTCGTCCTGCGAGAGTCAGAGCGAGAGCGAATAATGCCCCTGGCACTTTTTGTTTCGCTCTTTTCGTTTTTTTTTTTGGGAGACAACCTCCTCCCTGCCCCTGCCCCTGCCCGGCATGCCAAGTGTGGTGCGGCTGTTTAAATTGACACTTGGCATCTTTTGTTGCATCAAAAACGTGTCGTCCTCGAGCCGTTTCTTCTGCCATCTCTTGATCCCTTCATCCTGCCATCCATGCCAGGCATACAGCCATCCAGGCGTGTCCTGCCACCTGGCACTGATGCTGGCAATGCCGCAATCACTTAACCCTATGCTTAATATTAAGTATATAAGTATAGAAATAAATACTTGGGGTATTTTTTAACAATTCTATATAACATTTCCATATATATTATTGTACTTTTAAATATTGTACTTTAATTTTTTACTTTTCTGTAATGATATGCTTAATGATTATTATTTACTATATAAGTATAGAAATAACTACTTAGGGTCTTTTTTAGCAACTATATATAATATTGTAAGAAGTTTAATTTTCTACTTTCCTGTTAAGATATGCCCTATGCTTAATATTAAGTATATACGTATAGAAATAAATACTTGGGGTCTTTTTTTAGCAATTCTACATAATATTTCTATATCTTTTTGAAGTTTTAAATATTGTAAGTACTTTCAAAAGACTCTTAGTAGTAATTTGTATACTTGCAAAAATATATTTAGAAATATTATATTGAATTTATAAAAAAGATCCTAAGTATTTATTTCTATAATGTACTTTTAAATATTGTAACAATATTAATTTCATACTTTTCTGTAAAGATATGCCCTATGCTTAAAATTTAGTATTTAAGTATAATAAATACTTAGGGTCTCTTTAAGAAATTCTATATAATATTGATATATTTTAAACATGTAAATATTGTAAGAACTTTAATTTTCTACTCTTCAGTAAAGATATTTATAATTTATTATTTATTATTTCGATATATATATTTTTGTACTTTTAAATAATGCAAGAACTTTAATTTTTTACTCTTCTGCAAAGATATTTATAATTTATAATATGTAATTATGTACCTAATTACTCCTTAACTCCTTAACCCCTCACTCACATGTCTGATTATTTAATTAATCTCAAAGTTAAGCAATAATTACCTATTGTCCTGCTACCTAACATAAAATATGTCACTTGGGTATTTAGAGGGTTAAATGTTTGACAGAGTGTTAAGGTAAGTTCGCCGCCTGGTGAGCTGCTTGGGGGAGGGACAAGGGCAGGTGTGTGCGAGTGTGTGGGTGTGCAGGGTGTAAGCAGGTGTGTGTGAGTGGGTGTGAGGGTGTAAGCAGGTGTGTGTGTGGCTGTGTGCTGGGTGGGAAGGTCATGTGCACACTCTTATGACATTTTCTTAAATTACTTCCGAAAACCGGTTCACGCCCTTGCCAAATTTCTCATTCATGCCGCGCCATTCTTGCAGCCCCAAGTCCGCCTTCCCCTTCCTTTTAAAAAATTTTCTTTCCCCTTCCCCCCTCAGACATTTTCCACACCCACTCTTGACACTATTCCCTACACCCTTTCACCCTTCCCCCTCTGAGCTGCCACATTTTCCCCCTCCGTGCATTTTGTTCAAGTGGCGTCTTAAAGTCGTCCTAATTGAATTGCGCAATAATTTAATGCAACTTTTCAGTGCCATTGAAAAGTTGCAACTTTTAATTTTGGTCATTTTTGGGTGGATTTTCATGAGTGTCCTTTGGGTAAGCAAGACAGTTTTCGCTAGCCTTTTTTTATGATAAAAAAACAGGCACTTTGATCAGGGAAAATGGAAAATATCAGGCAGAATGTACATAAAATTATTACTTAAGCTGATTAAGCATTAAGAGACATTGCGTTAATTAAATGTTAAATAACAATATTAAAGGTATACATTAAAAACCAACAGAAAAACATATTATAATTTATTTTTCTTGGGGTTTCTTATTTATTTCCACTTAGACAAGAAATGATCTTTAAGGCTGAATTATCAGAAAAATTAATAAGCAAGAAAGAATCGCAAATATATTCTTGAACAGCATTAATTTTGGAGTAAAAAAAGTAATAATTTATCTCACAATTCTATAATTAATTCGATACATTTGTCAGAAAAATAAGTGTGACTATTACAATTTTAAAGTTAATATAACAGATTTGTTAACCTAATAAAATCAAGCACAAAAAACTTTCTGAATAGAAAATTAATGCTTTCTTGACTTAGTTATGATTGATCTTAAAAGTATACAAACTTTGGTTTTCCCCTAGTTTATTCTAAATATTTACATATTTAAATTACAAACTTCAACACACTGTAAGGACTGCAAGAAAGTCGTCAGAACAAATGTTCTGCAAATTAAAGTTGGGCAATTGCTCAGCCACTTATGGGATTTTCAAGATTATCTTATTCAAAAGAAGGACCCAAGACCCAATCCCAAGCCAAAAACCAAGTGAGAAAGGTCGACTAAGAGATACCCATTAAGCAAAACATTAAACAAAAATTATTATAGAACAAATATTGTATTTATTATATATTTTGCACTTCTATGAGAAAAAAAACTCTATAGTTATATCTCATTTCCAGTTGACCCCAAAACTATAATACCCTTTGCACTTGCTGCGCTACTGGGTATGAAAAAGGGACACCAGTTCGTCAAGCCTCTTCTTCCAGAGTTATTAATTAAATTAACAGACCCAAAGTGGGCTCCGGCGAGGAACAAAAAGTTTTTTTGTGAAGAATGCCATGGGTATACCTTAAGATTCGGGGTAAATGAATTACGCGAAATTAGCAATTAAAATTCACAAAATGTTTGCGGCCCAAGACACCAGAATTCTTCATTTTAATACTCACACTTTTATATATACATTACAAACAATCCAATTTGGGTCAGCAGCCAGAGAAGAAATTATAATTAAAATCAATTTGCATAAACAGAAAAAAAAAACTGGAGGAGAAAGTCCCTTTGAAGGGGGCGAAAAATTGTGTTTTGGGCATGAAAAGTTTATTATCCTTTAGACAGGAAGCGGATGAGCTTGACCTTATAAAATGTATTCAAAATTTACGATAAGAAAATCAGATCAGATCTGAAGGATAATTGGATTAAGATTAGATAGACGATGGATATATTAAAAGAATCTTCTTTAATGCTAGATCTGTATCTGCATCTATAGAGGTATATATGCTTCTTGAACCTTTGATAGGTCTCTATCTAAATTAAAAGAAATGAAAATACTAATTAAATGATTGCTTTAATTGTTTTTCTCCCTTCTCTTTTTTCAGATCTCTCTCTATATCTCGCCGTCTATTTCTTTGCCTGTCTGCCCGTCTATTTCGGTCTCTTTGCCACCAATTCGCACTCACTTTTTTTTACCAAATAACAAAGGACAGATGGAGGAGGATGCGGCAGAATGAAACAATGTGAGGCAAAAGGACATCGTGGAGCCAGGAGCACAGCAAATGCACAACAAAGGAAGGCCACCAAAACGAACATTTGAAGAATTTTAATCGAAAACTGCCAAGAAACAAAATATATTTACAAATATATTTATATACCTAGTAAATCGAAACAAAAACGTATATATATATATATTAATTATAACGTATACTACCATATATAGAGAAAAAAGAGATACGCTATATATATACATATATATTAACGATGAAATCAAGGGGCGGGAAAGCAAGGATTCCTGCAAATAATAATTGATGTAAATAAATGCTGCCACAACAACTAATTGCCAACACTGAGAGAAAAGCCATCAACTGAAATGCATATAACGCACAACAAGAACAACAACAACAACAACAAGCAGCCAGGCCACACTGAGAATAATTTCTATATAGAGCCTTGAAACCGAGTTTGAAGATTGGAAATTTGAAATTATTGTGGGGAAAATCCAGCACCGCACCACCGCAGCACCGCAGCACCGCGGCAAAGGCCAAAAAAAGCGGGGAAAGAGGGAAATGAGATGAAGTGGTTTCAAGTGACCATAGATATGATTCTTGTGCTTTCATTTATATCAAGTAAGTGGCTCGTATTTATTAGCCTTAGTCCAGTTTCGGTACCATTTGAAATACCACTACCAAATCCCGAATCCCTGCCCCCTCCTCAATTCGAGTGCCATTCAAACAAAGCCCGGTCGACGGGCAAGGACTCGCAACATAACACAAAACAATCGCATGACTTTCGCCCGACATCCTCTCAACACTCAAAACATTCTCCAAGTTCCGCCAGCTTTTCGCCCCCTCGAATCCCCCTTTGGATCCATCCGTGTGTCCATTGAAGCGCTCAAGTGTCCTGAGTTAGTTGTGGGGGCGGACAAGGACACCCGCCCCCCCATTTCTGCACTCGCAGAAAATATCAGGCCTAGTCAAGGCCCTTAAAAGCTGTTACTTAGGGACATAAAATCATGTGTTACATACGATTTAAGTTATTTGTCAAGTTTTTATCGTTATATTTTTTACACATTTTGGAATAATAAACCCCCTTTTTTTGGGAAAGTGAACTCCGAGTCCTGAGGTTAGCCTTTATTGTCTCTGTGCTCGGGGCTTTATGGCCACAGCTTAATTTGGATTTTGGCAATTGCCGCAGCGAAATAAAAAGAAACAAAATAAATGAAAACAAAAGTAAAAATCACTTGAAGAGGAACGATGCACAAGACAGATTTCCATTTGAAACCCCAAAGAATGTCACACAGAAAAACCCTCAAGGACCAAAAAATCAAACTAGCTAGACAAGGAATTCGGAGAGAGTTAAGAAAGCAAAGCAAGATGTCCTTTAAATACTGCTTTAAGCTACCCGAACTTCTAATAAATGGACTTCCCTAGGGAGCAAAATTCTAAATTTGAAATTGTAATTGTTAAGTAAATTGTAAACTAAAGTTTATGCATATATTTACTGTCATGTGGGACTGGGGGGCTAATGCAGACTGAAAAGGACGAAGGACAATGCCCGCATTGGTGACTTCGGTTTTCGGTTCCTGGCCTCAGGTTTTGCTTCAGTTTCAGTTTCAGTTCCAAACTCCAGATTCAGGATTCAGTTTCGGTCTCGGATTCGGAATCAGATTCTGTTTCAGTTCACAAAATGGGGCCGTGGCTTTTGTGTGTGTCTCTGTGTGTGTATCTGTGAGTCACAGCCTGTGCGTGTGTATGTGTGTGTTGCCAAAAGTAGCACAAGGCAGCTACGCCCACAAGCAAAAGCCCATCCTGCTTCGTCCTTTCGTTCCGTGTGCCAACAAACGCATTCAATGCGATCTCAGGCGACCCCTCTCGCTCTCTATTTTCTATTTCCCATTTTTCTCGCTTTTTTTTGTTGTAATTTTCCCCCTGCACCGCTGGCCAACGCCTTTGTGCGTGTTTTTCCGATTTGATTTTCCATTTTTTATGCGCATAGCGTCGCGACGCGTCACCAAGGCCAGCCAGCATTTAATAGTCCTCGGTCCTAGGTCTTCCTTTGCTCCACCCCCTGCTCCTGTTCACTTTCACTCCCTGGGCGAAAATCGAAGCTTACAAAAGGAATCAAATATATACATATATATATATATATTGGTGGCCCATGCGATTTAGGAGTATTTTCAAGCATCAGGGATCCTTGAGGCATTGGGAGGATGAGAGAAATACATACATGTGGAGCCGGTGAACGAATGCTATTTGTCGCCTGGGAAACGCGTGCAAGGACATAAGCATCCTTTCAAAATGATTCACAACCTGCTGCTCGCAGAAAATATATATTTCTCTTTTTTATATATATATGTATTTAAGCTGACCTGCTAAGGATGTGATATATATATGTATATACTTTTGTTGTCAATTGAACTGTGTGAGAATCTATAGTTGTGTTCATTAAGCGATTTCAGTTGAGTGGCATGTATTTATGTCTATTGATCAAAATCAATTTTGTGAACTTTCTGTGTAAGTTACTCTTTGAAGAGAGTGGAGTGGAATATTAATAGAAAAATATTATTAAATAAGAAGTCAAGGGTTTATTTCAAATGCTGATAGAGCAGTCTAAGTACTGCCTTTCTCCTGAATTTGCTTTTAATGTTCAAACATATTTCTTACTATATATATTATCTCTATAAGTTCATCAATACTTCACTAATAACCACACAATTGTCAAGTTGTCAAAGCGTTATCCATCTTATATTTTACTAACTTGCAATCTCTCTTAATATATTATTACACACAAATACCATAAGTATTTAGTTTGCACTTGGCGTAAACAGGAACAAACTAAAGAAACTAAAGAAAGTAAAGAAACTAAAGAAAGAAAATCAAAAATAGTGACTTCAATAGAAGAAAGACAAAGTACAAAATAAGCATTTGGCGAATGGGTAAAATATAAATCTTGAAATTTGTTTTGGAGGCCGCTCGTTTCATTTCGTTTCGTTTCATTCTTCTTAAACAAGCATTGAATTTCTTTCGATTTAAAAAGCCATAAATTCCGATCAGAGGAAGGCTTCCTGACTGGCCTTAGGAGGGAGGAGGGAGAGATTCCAGGACTCACGGAATGAGGGGGATCCCCGGAAGATGCCCCAAACCGAATCAGAGAGCAGCGCCCAAAATGCGGGCAACACAATTTTTTATGTCATCATTTTTTTCGGAGGAGGAGAGCAAGCAGTGCCGGCAAACATAAATATAAACGGCAGTAAAGTACACCAGACAGAGAGACCAAAAGCCCAACAGAAAGAGATGGGGCATGAGGGTGAGAAAGAGAGGGGGAGAGAACACACACACACACACATGCATGCATGCAGCAATCCTGCTGCAAATGGCTGCTAATGCAGCTGCATCAGCCAAAGACATAGAAGCAGCAGCAGCAACTGCCACGCTCCAGTTTCCGCTTTGTGGCCATTAAACGGGCCACACACACAGAGAGAGAGAGCACACACATAGTGCACAAACACACATGCAGCTCTCACACACATTTATACTACTAAATACACTGAAAACTAAGAGAACAGGACATGTTTAAGCTCTCTAATTAGCAGTTTTCTTCTTACAAATTAACTTTATTATTTAAGCTTTAACTTATACTTATTCTTTCCCAAAATCTCTTTAAATTAGAGGCATTTTCTATTACCATTTCTCTCAGTGTATGCCCATTGAAAGGGAGTGAGTCTGCATCTAACATCCTCTTTTTTTCGGAATCAAACGACAGACGACGACAACTGAGCACTTTTCCACACAACTTCCACTGTATTTATTCTACTTATTTCAATCGGTGGTTCAAAGGGCAAACTATAAACTTTGCGGCATATATTACACACGAAAAATGTGGTTGACCTCTCAGGGCACATACTTCATTGGGACAAAAATTTGGTCTTTTCAGATAGTTTACCTCTTGAATTTATTTCAAAGTTTAGATAAGTTTATATTTAATATATAAGTCGAACAGACAAGGAACTAGATTTGACTTAAGAAATCTAAGAAGAAATTATAAGAAATGCTAAGAAATAAAGAAATAATAACGAATAATAAGAACTTCTATATAGAAACAAAAATTACAATATATCTTTAGCACTACTTTTAACACTTGTACAGTTCTAAATTGATGGAAAGCTAACTTCGAAAAGAAGACTTTTGTATACCCTTTCAGAATCCAGAGGTTGGAAATAATTCCTTAAAAATGAAATAAAATAGGGTCCCAACATTTGAAGTGAATTTTCCTAAGAAATTTCAAAAATTAAATAATAACCCAAACTTGTTTTAATTAAATCTCGTTGTATATGTTAAATATTTAATTGATTTGTTTTGTAAACTAACTAACTAACTAACTAACAGATTATCGATAAAATAATATAAATTAAGAATAATAAAAGATAAATAGATATACTCTTACAGGGTATTTTTATTTCATTCAGAAGCTCTAAACTAAGTGAAGGAGTCATTTCCGACCCTATAAATCATATATATTCTTGATCAGCATCAACAGGCGAGTCGATTAAGACATCTTAGGCAGAAAATTTTTTTTTCAAATTTTTTCAAAATTTTACAAGGGGTTACATCATTAAAATTATCAAAAATTGACAAAAAATTTGCATTTTTTTAAATTTTAAATTAAGTATGCAGATTTATTAAGCTATTAAAAACTAGCACAGAACAGCTTTCCGAAATGAATTTAGTGCTTTTTTGGCATAGTTATGATTTTTTAAAGTTTGACTTTCCCATACAAATTATACCAATAAATATCAGCATAAAGAAATGAGTTTATTTAAGATATTCTTGGGGACATTTAATGGAAAAAAGCAATATATTAAAATTAAACGATTGAAACCTGAAACATTGTAAATAATTTAAAAAGGAATACTACATTCTTCAATTTACTTTCTTTCATGCTAAATTCATAATTCATTTTTCCTATACTCAGACCTTAAATTAAGTCATTTAATACGCATCCTCACACTTGCAGTATCCTTCATTAAAAAATTATAACTACTATACTTAAAAAATAAATATAAATATGACCTAAAAGACCATCCTTTTATAGGGTATTTTTCATTTCGCCATTGTCCGGCTGTTAACATTATAGCTTCGCATAATTTTTCACTTCCAACCACTTTATCTACTGCGATACTAATGTCCTCGAACGCCCCCCCATTATCCCCTTTCTGCCACCACTCAGAGTCCCCAGTCCCTTTGGTCCCCCTCCCTGCTCACTAATGCAATTGCCACGCCCCTGCTGCACTTACGCGGCGCTAATATAGAAAAGTGAAGTGCCACCGACAACGTTGACGATGGGAACGATGACGACAACAACGACAACTTCTGGGACAACGACGACGGTACTTGGAAAAATGGGGCGCATTGACACCCCTTTTGGAGGCGATGTGCAGAGAGAGAAAAATTGATAAAAATATTATTCAAAATATTACAAAGGGTTAGTTTTATAGAGAGATATAATAATTTATAAAATTAATCAGGTACAAAAAATAATACCTAAGCATTGAAGAGAAGCTTTAGCTTCTAGAAACATATCATTATCATTTAGGTTTCAATTCCATCAAGAAATACTTTCTGTTTTC